TTAAAGTTATGGGGCTATTTTGGTCTACTGGTCCTGGGGCCCTTCTTAAGGTCAACGGCATCATCATCTTTACCCAGTACCAGAACATTTTAGCCAAAAACCTGGTTGCCTCTGTCAGGAGGCTGAAACATAGCCGCAAGTGGATCTTCCAGCAAGACAATAACCCCAAGCACACATCAAAATCCACAAAGAAATGCTTAATTGGCCGCAAAAATTAACATATTGCAATGGTCATCTCAGTCTCCGGACTTGAAACCCACTGAAAACCTGTGGTTTGAATTGAAGAGGGCAGTCCATAAGCACATATGAAGGATCTCAAGGATCTGGAAGGATTCTGTATGGAGGAATGGTCTAAGATCCCTCCCAATGGGTTCTCCAACTCATAAAACATTTTAGAAAAAGCCTCAGTGCCGTGTGTGTGTCTGCAGTGTGAGAAAGATATGATAATGATGTTCAGCTAACAATGAGGCTGCTAACACGCACACAGTGGGAGACTGTCATCACCACTGTGTGTGTGAGGTTCTTCTGAGGGGTAAGGATTTGAGGAACACCTGTCTGGATTATCCCCAGGGGTACATAAAGGTGTGTGTGCTTGCGTACATGCGTGTGTGTTTGACCTGTATATGTGCAGGTCAAATCACAATGAGGGCATGGTTCTCCAGATTAAAATCTGATTGTGGATCTGATGGGTCAGTCAATGTATAGACCCCAATCACCTCTAATACAACCTCCCCAATTAGATCAGAATTCATGTGATACTTAACTACATTAAGATACATGCTAGACAACCTTAATAGGAGGAAAAGGAAAAGCCAAAAGGGTAGCAAAGGCAACGTGGGTCTCTCACCGCTCTCACTCACTCTCGCCTCCAACCACGCGCGAGCGCGGGCGCGCTCAGTTTGCCGAGCCGCTCGCGTCTGAGCGCGCGCCTCCGCGGCGCTCTCACTCCAAGGAGGGGTCGCACACGGTCTACTCCCCACGACACCCACCTGGCTACACAGAGTCGCCAACTCTCCATCTCCCCCTCTTCTACTTTCTCTCCTCTTTTTTTCTCCCCTCCCTCCTCGGCTCAGCTCTCCCTGGTTGCTGATCTGGCATATCTCTGCCTTAATTCTCCCTGGTTTGTGTTCTGAGCTAAACATCTTACTGTAGGCCTGGCCTGGTGCTCCCTCCACTACTTAATAAATAAATACCTAAACCTCCTAAACTCCCTCCCTATCCTCCCTCCCTCCGTTCTCCACCCCAGCCCCTCCCTACTGCCTCACCCACCCCGGCCTCCTCAAAAATAATGGCCTTCCCTCTTCCCTCCCCCTCCCGCCTCCTGCCTGCTCTCCCTGCCTCAATCCCCCGCCCTGCCTCCCTCCCCTGCCTCAATGCATGACCCTTCCTTAACCTCCTCCCTCCCCTCCCACCCTCCCCCTCCCACCCTCCCTGCCTCCCTCCCTGCCTCCGTTCCTCTATCTCCATCATCATGCCTCTATCTGTCAGCAAGCTAGCTAACGTCTGCAGGGGTAAATGTCGTTGTGCTGTTTCTGGGACAGAATTATACGTGACAGCTCACCTCCCAACCCCCTGATACGTGTGTATGTGTGCGGGGGGATGTATGTGTGTCTGTCTGTGTGTGTCTGTGTGTGTGTCTGTGTGTGTGTGTATGTCTGTGTGTGTGTGAGAGAGGGGGTGTTCAGTACATGTTTGTTTGTGTATTTCTGCATGCTGTGTGTTTTGAGAATGTTAGCAATTTTCTACGTTAACACTTTTTAGACAAACATACAGTCAGTGAGTCAGACAGGCAGGCAGACAGACAGGCAGACAGACAGAGTCAGGCAGACAGTCAGGCAGATAGACAGATAGACAGGCAGACAGTCAGGCAGACAGTCAGGCAGACAGGCAGACAGATAGACAGACAGTCAGGCAGATAGACAGACAGTCAGTCAGACAGACAGAGACAGACAGGGATAAGAGAGCAGCACCACAGGCCCTCACTCTTTACACAACGGGCTGGGTTGCCTGGATACGAGAGAGATGATAACTTCTGTCTAAATTTAAACCCAGAGAGATGGAGGCAGAGGGAGGACCATGTATGTGACCCACAATAACACACAGGTACAGTACCATCACGGAGCTTTCATTTGTTGACGTCACAACATTGATTGGAGACATTCTGCTCATGATAATGTGAAATTATGACAACAATTTTCCCTAGCACAGAGACACACATAGGGTGGGGGAAAAAATTATTTAGTCAGCCACCAATTGTGCAAGTTCTCCCACTTAAAAAGATGAGAGAGGCCTGTAATTTTCATCATAGGTACACGTCTACTATGACAGACAAATTGAGAATTCTTTTTCCAGATAATCACATTGTAGGATTTTTTATGAATTTATTTGCAAATTATGGTGGAAAATAAGTATTTGGTCACCTACAAACAAGCAAGATTTCTGGCTCTCACAGACCTGTAACTTCTTCTTTAAGAGGCTCCTCTGTCCTCCACTCATTACCTGTATTAATGGCACCTGTTTGAACTTGTTATCAGTATAAAAGACACCTGTCCACAACCTCAAACAGTCACACTCCAAACTCCACTATGGCCAAGACCAAAGAGCTGTCAAAGGACACGAGAAACTAAATTGTAGACCTGCACCAGGCTGGGAAGACTGAATCTGCAATAGGTAAGCAGCTTGGTTTGAAGAAATCAACTGTGGGAGCAATTATTAGGAAATGGAAGACATACAAGACCACTGATCATCTCCCTCGATCTGGGGCTCCACGCAAGATCTCACCCCGTGGGGTCAAAATGATCACAAGAACGGTGAGTAAAAATCCCAGAACCACAAGGGGGGACCTAGTGAATGACCTGCAGAGAGCTGGGACCAAAGTAACAAAGCCTACCATCAGTAACACACTACGCCGCCAGGGACTCAAATCCTGCAGTGCCAGACGTGTCCCCCTGCTTAAGCCAGTACATGTCCAGGTCCATCTGAAGTTTGCTAGAGTGCATTTGGATGATCCAGAAGAGGATTGGGAGAATGTCATATGGTCAGATGAAACCAAAATATAACTTTTTGGTAAAAACTTAACTCGTCGTGTTTGGAGGACAAAGAATGCTGAGTTGCATCCAAAGAACACCATACCTACTGTGAAGCATGGGGGTGGAAACATCATGCTTTGGGGCTGTTTTTCTGCAAAGGGACCAGGACGACTGATCCGTGTAAAGGAAAGAATGAATGGGGCCATGTATCGTGAGATTTTGAGTGAAAACCTCCTTCCATCAGCAAGGGCATTGAAGATGAAACGTGGCTGGGTCTTTCAGCATGACAATGATCCAAAACACACCGCCCGGGCAATGAAGGAGTGGCTTCGTAAGAAGCATTTCAAGGTCCTGGAGTGGCCTAGCCAGTCTCCAGATCTCAACCCCATAGAAAATCTTTGGAGGGAGTTGAAAGTCCGTGTTGCCCAGCGACAGCCCAAAAACATCACTGCTCTAGAGGAAATCTGCATGGAGGAATGGGCCAAAATACCAGCAACAGTGTGTGAAAACATTGTGAAGACTTACAGAAAACGTTTGACCTGTGTAATTGCCAACAAAGGGTATATAACAAAGTATTGAGAAACGTTTGTTATTGACCAAATACTTATTTTCCACCATAATTTGCAAATAAATTCATAAAAAATCCTACAATGTGATTTTCTGGATTTATTTTTCTCAATTTGTCTGTCATAGTTGACGTGTACCTATGATGAAAATTACAGGCCTCTCTCATCTTTTTAAGTGGGAGAACTTGCACAATTGGTGGCTGACTAAATACTTTTTTCCCCCACTGTATAGATACAGTGAGAGAAAAAAGTATTTGATCCCCTGCTGATTTTGTACGTTTGCCCACTGACAAAGAAATTATCAGTCTATAATTTTAATGGTAGGTTTATTTGAACTGTGAGAGACAGAATAACAACAAAAAAATCCAGAAAAACGCATGTCAAAAATGTTATAAATTGATTCGCATTTTAATGAGGGAAATAAGTATTTGACCTCTCTGCAAAACATGATTTAGTACTTGGTGGCAAAACCCTTGTTGGCAATCACAGAAGTTAGACGTTTCTTGTAGTTGGCCACCAGGTTTGCACACATCTTAGGAGGGATTTTGTCCCACTCCTCTTTGCAGATCTTCTCCAAGTCATTAAGGTTTCGAGGCTGACGTTTGGTAACTCGAACCTTCAGCTCCCTCCACAGATTTTCTATGGGATTAAGGTCTGGAGACTGGCTAGGCCACTCCAGGACCTTAATGTGCTTCTTCTTGAGCCACTCCTTTGTTTCCTTGGCCGTGTGTTTTGG